ACTTGTGCAACATACCCTGCAGCCTGCACGGGCGGTGTAACGACTGAATTCAACCCTCGGCCTGGTGGTGCACTTGGGGAAGCACGTGAATGCACGCTGGCCATCGGCCCTCTAATCGGCATGATACCCAAAGAACCTGGACTTTCACGAGAGGAGACGAAACTCCATCAAAATTGACATCGTAGGAACTGGTAAAAATACCTCCGCGGTGGTGCGATGGGAAGTATACAATGAATAGAATAAAGTAATTATCTATAATATAGTTCTAATGTTTTTATAAATATTGAATTTGAATTGCATAAAAAAGTGATCTTTATACAGGATTGGAAGTGCATGGGTGGTTTTTACTTCACTCATTTTTGGTTTCTTATCTAATGATCTAGGTGCAAGGAATATGAGTGTGAGCGATATACATAAAACCAAGTTGCGGAATCACACAGCTGAGCAAGTAGTAGTATCCCAAGTAGAGAGTACAAATGCACTGAGAAAACCATCCATAAAGAGCAATACAATGAAGTATTGAGCCAATGTCCAAGCCCGTAGGCGACACCAACACAGTATCCAGAGTCGCTCTCGCTGTCTGGCGCACAGCGCCCAGCCTACTCTACCACACTATCCTACTCTACAGCTGGTTCACACAACAGGATCACTTCGGCTCACGAAGACCAATGTACATGACTGTCCACACCATCGGCGACCTCTCTTCATGTACCAGGTGCGTATCTCGTCACCCTCAATCAGACCTTGATTATCCCACACAGGGCCTCACTCCCTGAAGACCACCCGATCATCCGCTGTACCCCCTGGCGCCCAACAGCCTGGCTATGGCTGCCTGCGCCCCGCTGCCCTGCAGCGCCCCACCTCACCTCTCGCGCTCCGTCAGCGCCCTTGGCAGCAGCGCAGCATCAAGCGAGAGCGCAGCAGCACTTCCGCATAGCTAACGCTGGCCAGAATGCCTGGCCTCGGCTGCCTCACTTCCTTTATGGAAGTGTCAGCCTGCTTGATGCTGCGTGTGGCCTGGCTGGAAGCTTCCAGTAGCTTCCGGTTGGGCCTCAGACCCTGTGCCCAGGCCCGAGACTTACAGTTGAGGGCCTGGGCCCCTTTTCAGTTGGGCACAGCCTGAGTCTTCCAGACTTGGGCTGTTTGCGGCATCTGTGCAGGTTCCCCGGGCAGGTGCATTGGCACTACTGCTTTTGCAAAGGCCGAAGGCCTGCTTCCCAATGTATCGGCCCTGCTTTGTGTGCGTGTGCTCAGGTGCAACTGTCAAGGCCTGGGCCAACTGTATGCCGCAGCATTGTGACGCTCATGCGTCTTCCCAACCAACTGGCGTGCTGCGAGAGCCTGAATACCCCATATGGAAATGCCAAATTTTGCCTTTGACGAATATTCAGGCCTGCCTTCACTTAGGGCGGGCACTTGGCTTGCTGGGAACCTTAGCCCAGAACAATGTGATGTCTGATAGTGCCACTTGAGGGCTCGTTCCTCACATAGGACGTAATCCAGGACATAAAGAGTCGCTGAATATTTGAATTCAAGTTTTCGGATTGAAAACAGTAAGACAAGGATTTCAATTTTCGACCCCCGGTACGCACAATAGTTTTGCAATGGATTAGCGGTCTGTCACTTCCGACCAGTCAGGCAGCACGCCCGTCAGTCATGGCATCGTCGCTTTCGACCAGTCATAAATTCGGGTGGCATGCCCGTCAGTCTGGCTGGAAAGGACAGATCACTAATCCGTTGTACGCTATTGTGTGTACCGAGGATTCTTTTCTCTTTCTTATCGTTTTCAATTTGAAACTTGAATTCAAATCTTCAACTACTCTTTTATGTCCTGGATTACGTCCTGGGTCATTAGATAAGAAACTGGAAATAAATAAAGGGAAACCACCAGTCTATACTTGCAAGCCTGTTTAGTATTTACCAAACCTGCCCTGTTGCACCACCGTGAAGTGTTATTTCGACCAGTTCCTACGAGCTCAAATTTGATTGAATTTTCAATTTTGTCTCCTCTCCTGAAAGTTCGGGTTCTTTGGGTATCATGCCAATAAGATAACACTTGCAAGCTAGGCTACCACACTGGGCCCGTGACCAATTGCCTAGCTGGCTGGGCAAAAAAAAAAAAAAAAAAGATATTAAAAAAAAAATCAATTTGGAAATTGGCATTTAATTGACAAAGAATTTCGATACGACCCTGAGGCAAAAATTGTGCAGTTTATTTTTCTGCACGACTTATAGTTTTTAAATTTTAAAACTTCTTTTCGGAATATTTGGATTTCTTTTTGTTTTGTTTTTGTTTTGTTTTGCGGGGACTTTCCCTGGCCTTGCACGGCCCGGGCCGCCCGGGCAACCAGGGTGACCCAGGCAGCCCGGGCGGCCCCGTCAGTAGCCCAGCTTGCAAAGATGAAAGGAAAAATAATTCAAAAGTTTGTTCACGCGTCAGGAATGTTTCCCCTCCACTTCAGATCTCTCTTTCTGTGAACTCGTCTCCTTGGGTTTTTGGTGTGTGCGCGTCAGCGGAGGATGGGACTCATGTGGGGTACAGTGTGGCTCTTGTGCATTTATAATTTCTTCCCCTCATCGTCGAAGTGTGCTATTGATTTTATTCACATTTATGATCATTGAACTGACTGACCCGCAGGTAATTCAGAATTGATAATACCGTTTATTATTACCTTATTCAAGTTATTCTGTGCATCTGGTTGCATGAACTTGCGCATCTGTGGCATACTGCGTAGCCACACGGGCCCTACAGGGCCCGTCCCGGACATTCAGCCTAAAAGCCTAAAACTTAGGGCTTACAGGCCCCGTTCATTTCAGCCTGGATGCTGAAAAACGAGGGCCTGCAGGCCCTACCTCGTTTCAGCCTATTTCTGGGTCTTTTCAGACCCAGAGTTTTCAGCCTGAAACGGAGGGCCATTTTCAGGCCCTCATTGTTTCGACCTGCTCCTAAGACTCAGGCACRGAAACAGGGATGYGGAACASGCYMAAAATAGCCTGTTCCTCACGTRCTCGAGCAGGAGCTGCAGCTGCAGCCCCTGCCTCCCTTCGGCAGGCTCAAGAGGCACACCCGTAGTACAAAGGAGGTTCCCATGCACTTCACGGGCAGGTAGTCAGTAGGCAGAGGTAGTCTTCAGGATTCGGCCGCAGCACTCAGGAGGAGCGCTGCAGTAGTCTTCAGCGCTAGGCAGTAGTGGTAGCGCTAGCTGTAGTCTTCGGCGCTGGGCGTCATAGCTGTAGCTGTAGTCTTCAGCGCTGGGCGCTGGTAGGTAGTAGATCGTAGAGTGGAGAGAGACTGGCGGAGGCCAGTGTTACTTACCTGTG